TATGAGCGTTAAAACAAAATGCCCCATGATATATGGCCCCTCATTGCGTCTTCTCTTCATGTTTGCAGGGTCAGAGGTCATTTCCAGCTACAGCAGCAGTAGCATCATGGCTGAGTCTGTTATGCCAGAGATGCCCCCAGCCATGTGCCTGGAGAAGCCCAGCGTCGACTTCAGCTATGTGGGCATTGATGCCATCCTGGAGCAGATGAGGAGGAAGGCCATGAAACAGGGCTTTGAGCTCAACATCATGGTAGTGGGTGAGTCAACATTTCAAGCACTGATCTCTGAGAAATCAGTCAGATATGTTTCTATTAAATGCTTGCAGCTTTATTTCAGACATTTTTCAGACTCTGTAATTTAGGCATTTGGTGAAACCGTTTTTTAAAAAATGAAGTGAAAGTGCCATGAATTATAATTGTAGAGAACCATTTAAGTTTTCAACCTTTAATAATAAAATCTTATGGTAATCAAAGCTTCAATTTTCCATAACACTTCCAACCACACACCTACGCATGGCAATTACACGCAGGCTTTCATAAGCAGTGCTCAATTAAATGCCACCAGTCAGGCTGTGTTATTCCATATGCATTTTTATGTTCGTTCTTACATGTTAGTGTGTTCCTGTGTGCGCTTGTTCATGTTTTATCTTTAGGCTCGTGAGGTTGCATATCTGTTACAGTTTCTGTTTTTAGTCTGTTAGATGCATTAGTCTGTTAATGAGTTTAATTACATTCACATCTTCAGAAGACAAAGAATAAAACCTACTGTAGTTAAACTGATATTCATGAACTGACATATGCAATGATTACATAATTGTTCTAGTGCACTGAATGTGTTATTTCGTGTTAGCTTACAGTACATTCTCAGAAATGGTAATAGTCAGCAATACTTGACATGCCACATACTTTAGGAGACTGAAATATTTGTACTTTGAGATGATGGTTTGATGTGCAGTGGTATGACTCGTGTTGTTTTTGCAAATCACGCTCGCAGCAAATTTCATTGGTCTACTCACTCACATAGTCACCTGTCAAGAAATGTTCAGACTTCATGAATTCAGCTAGTTTAGAGTGACAAACAGTAATGCTGTCAATCAGGATGAGCTACCAATTCTATCTTAAGTTTAAAAACTTCAACTGAGGGTGCTTTCACACCTGTAGATCGATTGCTTTGTTCCAAAACAGGGATTAAAATTATTACAATGTTGCTTTTTATTCTTGGTGCAATTCACTTTCAGACGGCAAAGTTTCTAAATGGACCAAATTTGTTTCTACAAGTCACGCGCGAGTAAACTGTTCTCTCATTGGTCAAAGTTCCACAGTTTATTTTCCGGGATTCCACTTAGCTGTCAGGGCCGTCATCCGTCAGGATGGAACGACAACAGCATCGCAGACTTATTGTTGTTGTTTTTTTGTAGCTGTCATTATATTAATTTATCATTTTGAGCAGGAGTCCAGGATTCATCGGGAAAACATTTTTAAAATGCACCTACTAGGAAGAAGAGCAATAAAACGGCATTATAAAATTAAAAAGTGCGCTTTGATTTTGAATGGCATGCTCATCCACAGACATTCACAGGTTTATTTTGAAGTATTAGCAAAACAACAAAGCTAATGCTTTTCACGGAATTTACGTAATTACCATTATACATTGTGATATAGCCTGGTTCGTTGGTCTGTTAGATCGGATTGCTTTCTCACTACAACCGACCACCTCGTTCAGGCGATCTCGGACCGATTGTTTTGGTGTGGGTCCGAGCGCGATTGCCGTGTTCACATATGCCCAAACGAACCGAGCTAAGGGGGGAAACGCGCGGTTAGGGGTTAGTATTTGTTTCAGCATTGAGAATGCAATCAGCACTGTGATTGACACAAACAATGAAATCTTTAGAATCGGCTGCAGTTTCAATTTAACTGGTATGAGGAAAAAATATGCATATGATTTTTTGACATATTTGAAAGTTATTTTTATGGGCTTTTATGCATTTTTATTAGGATAGGACAGTAGAGAGATGACATGAAAGCATTGGGTGGAGAGAGGGGAGCGGGATTGCAAAGGAAATTGAGACCGGAATCAAACTTGGGTCGCCATGAGCGCAGTTTTGCTGTATGTCAATGCACTAACTATGAGGCTATCGGCGCCAATCTATGACATGCTTGAAAAGTAGATTTTCACATTTTCTCAAGAATATATGAGCACCACTGTGGTTTTCCTATTCTGCTTTGGGTCATTCTAAATGTGGTACTAAATCTAACTAAATGCTAAATAAATCTACTAAATATGTCCAATGTTTTGCGATGCAACCGCAGTCTGAATGGTCATAACGTAATTAATATGACTTAAGTCACTCTAGATTGACATTTGTCACAATTCTGCATTGATTTTACATATTCTACTACATATTCTGTAGTTCTTTGATTTTTCAGTTAAAATGGAAGACCGTCGTGATGGTGGTCGGTGGAAGGACAGTGAAGTATAAGTATTGCAGTGACAGAGTTTTATATAAGCAAAGCTTGAGTGAGAATTAGAAATAACATTGCTTACTTTTTCAACATCCTCACCTGCATCCTATTTTTTTCATTTGCATGAATTCGCTGGCTTTGACTTTATAAACAAATGCATAAACACTGATTTCAGTGGCTTTCATATTTTCCTCCGTATGACAGCATGCTGTGTGCCATCTTTCTTATTGTTCTTTTGTGCATAAGAGTCAGTTCAGGATCGTAATCAGCTCACACTCAAATCTGATATTGGCCACATTAAAAAAAAATGTGAACAGGCAAACATCCAGTTTGAGTTTAGAGAATTCTGTTGTTTAGCTTTTGAAATTAAGTTGCTGAAGTCTTACAGTTTGCTTGTGAAAATGGGTTAATAACTTGAGACAAGTGGAGTTTGGAATGAGGAAATAAGAATGTAAATTAGGTAACAATGTGATAGGGCAAAATGTTTAGGGCATCACCTGGTGGTATTTTTCCATTTCAGCATTAGCAAATGAACCTGTACTGCAGCTGGTTTCTCACATGTGGCTCTCTGGGTCATTGTGGCCAAACCTGCTGTTGACTTAACCCAGTCAGAGCTGAGAGAGCCAACCCTCGCCAGTTCCCAGCTGCAGCCCGTTTATTCTGACTCCTGTCTCTCATTCCATCACATTTTCCTAATGCAAGTGTCAGAAAGTTGAAAAGTGCTGCCTTTATAGGCAGTATACAGGGAAAGGAAGGCAGCAAGGCACATCTGAATCCAATGTCAGCGGTGGGATTGGATGACAGGGTGTTTAGAGAGAGAGAATTAGCAGCCCTGCTCCGTGCAGAAAGGAGCAGGCCCTCATTACTACAGTGTGATGAGACCAAGGCTGACGGATGTGAGCTAGCGAGGTTGAAGAAAACCACAGCTAAACACAAGCTCCTGTTAGCAAGAGCCAATGAAATGATAGTTTCATTCCAACCTCAGGACAGCTCGAGTGGAAGCATCACTCATGATCTGTGAATGAAGAAGGACATATAAACAGTATACAACATTCTTCAAAGTTTTCATGTTTTGTTTTTTTTACATTGATTTATTTAGTCTTTTTAGCAGTGATCAAATAAATAATGCAACTATTTATTTAAAAATAATATAAAAATGCCTTCTCTTTCCTGCATTTTACCTTTGCTCTAGCTTGTGTACTAATATAGATTCTAATTTAAACTTGGCAATTTTTACTAATTAATATTATTGGCTCAATTGTAAGTCTTGTTTTGTATAAAACCATCTTCTGTGTAATGTAAATGTACATTGTTTCATGTCTAAATGGAAAATTCTACAAATTTGTTAAGATTGATTGCATTTATTAAAAACAAAAAATATATGCATAAGTATTCACGCCAATAGTCAATATAGACGTCCAACTATAAATTCTCAATTGGATTGAGATCTAGACTCTGACTTGGCTCATTAATGTTGTTTAGCCATTATTATGTACTGTAGCTTTGTGTTAATGTGCAGGCATCTTTTTTCATCCCCACAGAATGATGTTGCCACCACCGCGCTTCACAGTGGGGACGGTGTGTTTGTGATGATGGACAGCATTTGGCTAGCTCCAAACGGGGTGTTTAGTCTGATAGCCAAAAAATGGCTCAATTTTGGTCTCATGAAACCATAGAAGCTTCTTCCAGCTGGCTGCAGAGTCTCCCACATGCCTTCTGGCACTCTGTAGCCGAGATGCCATGTGACATTTTTGAACAGTGGCTTCTCTTTGCCACTCTCCCATAAAGCTGTCTCAGCCACTGAAGCTGAACTCTTTTCAGAGTCTCATTAGTCTCAGTTTTTGGAGAAGATTTACAGCTCTGCCAGGCTCTTTCTTCTGTTTCTTAATTATTGATTTACTGATATACTCAAAGGGATACTTAATTGAGTTTGCCAAATGTAATTATTTTAGATACTTTTGTATAGATATGTTTTCACTTTGTCATTAAAGATCAGTAATTCATCAAATGCTAGTGCCATTTGAACCCCTGAAGTGAATATTCTTTTATCTGTTTCTCACAGTCTGTGCTCTCATGCATACATCTTAGGGTTGGAATAATACACTACGTGACTTTTAAAATCTGAACAGATTTTAAAATACTGGCCATCATACACTTTCCGACTGTAACAAAAAACTGCATCATACACTAAACGATCAAGACTCCCAGACTTTCGAGTTGTTCTTAACACATCAATCTTGAGCAGAAACATGCCTCATTGCTGGGAGACAAATTAACAAATGAAAACATCGTGTTATAAAGTTGGCTAAAAATATCAAACATGTTTGTTTTCCTCCAACTGAATCAAATCAAAGTCTGAAGTTTAAAAAAATCAGAGTCTGTTCCCATCATACACTGTGATTTCTGTGAAGTCTGTCAATTCTGACTGACATAAATCTGAAAACTTTTCAGCAACTAGCATTGACTCATCTAGATCTGGGCAGAATTACTGTAGTGTATTCCAATCTTATGTTGATATGATTGTTGTACATGTGTACAGGTCAGAGTGGTTTAGGGAAGTCCACACTGATGAACACGCTCTTCAAGTCTAAGGTGAGCCGCAAGTCTTTCCTGGGCACGGCTGAGGAAAAGATTCCCAAAACCATTGAGATCAAGTCCATCAGTCATGGTAAAGCTGCACAGCTAGACCCATTTTCTGTCATTTTTAATGAAATGTAATTTATGCATTCATGCATGGCCATCACCCATAATGATCTTGAGTTCAAAGACACAAGAATTCAAGAAAATCTGAATTTCCTCAAGCTTAAGTGGACATTGTGTGCGTTAGTTTTAATACTGTCGGCCATCTTTTACACAGATATCGAGGAGAAAGGAGTTCGAATGAAGCTGACAGTCATAGACACACCAGGGTTTGGTGACCAGATCAACAATGAGAATTGGTAAAGTAGCCTCCAGTTTTGATATGGTCTAAAATGCGCTTAGTTCAGTCAGGTCCTCTTCTGTGAAATATAAATGACAATCTAAAGCAGTTCTGTGAGTGTTGGCCGGTATAGTTGTTCTGGGCACGCTCTGCGCCCATCTGTAAAGCCATGCTTGAAGAACAGCAATCAAACTCTCCAAAATAACAACCATCAAAGTGATCCTGATCAACACTTCATTGACTGGAAAATCCTGAGAGATCAATATAGTGTTAAACACTCTTAGTCTAAAGATATTTTCATTACATTTCTCTCTCATTCTATCTCCTTTCAACAGTTGGCAGCCCATAATGAAGTTCATCAATGACCAGTATGAGCAGTACTTGCAGGAAGAGATCAATATTGACAGGAAGAAGAGGATCCCAGACTCACGAGTGCACTGCTGCATATACTTCATACCACCCACAGGACACTGGTTAGTAAGCATACATTAGAAGTGATTTGAGACACGTCCTTATTTACCTAAACATCCATGTGAACATAAGTGCACTTTGGATCCCTCTAAAGGGCTTGTGCTGCATATACCTCATGTCTAGTAACTAATATCAACTCTGTTAGCATGAATAAGTGTTGTATGTTTCCTGCCTAATGATTATGTACAATAAAGGGGGAAAACTAGGACAGTTGTAGTAGTACAGTTCCTCCTGCAGAATGAGGTGGTGTTCAGTGTATAGTAAATCCAGACAAGCTGTCTTGATATCTCATTTTTACACATTCAATTTATACTTGAACACACTAACTGTGACCAGATATAAATACCCCTAAGACTTGTTCTCATGACCTTTTTTTATTTTTTAGAAAAATGCTGTCTGGGCATCTTTCATTTGAATAATTTAGCTTTAAAACCGACCTGCTTGTAAAATTGGTGTTGAGTGGAGTCACCACACTTATTTTAACAAGGCCTTGTATAACACATTACTGCTTGACCTTTGGCTTACAGAAACATTTAGCAAGCCCAAAAGCATTTTTTTCCATCTTAATTTCAGTATATAGTTCTTTGGGATTTTAAGACATTTTATAGATTGAAATGTGCTTTTCCCTCCTAAGCAGCTACTGTTTACATCAGGGATTTGTATTCACTTTTTACCATTAGCACATTTCCTTGTTACATCTAATAGTATCTTAGTGCTAAATTAGGTGGGTGGTCTGTGCTGTTGTTTCTCTCTGATGGAGAATCATTGTGTATGCTTGTGTTTTTATGGCTGCTGTTGGCCAGCATGAGTTTCCAGGCTTTCTGCGTTCTTCTTCACATACTGCAGGATAGTTTTTAGTGGCCTTTACAATAAAATGTGTATATGCATGTGTACACATGCTCAGTTTCCGGACAGAGGCCGGACGACACACATTAGCCGAGATGCTTTCTGTCTGTCTAACATCTGATAGAGCAGAGTAAATATTAAGAGACTTCTGGACTAAGTGTAAAGCAGACCACCTAAATAGAGTTTATCTACTGTGTAGTATATGACCTGTACATAAGTTTAATAAAATGAAAAAAATCAAGTATGAACAAATGAATTGAATATTATATATACACACTACCGTTCAATAGTTTAAAGAGGTATCTTATGCTCACTAGGGCTGCATGTATTTGTTGAAAAATACAATAAAAACAGTAATATTATGAAATATTATTACAATTGAAAATAACTTTTCTATTTGAATTTTATTATTTATTCCTATCATGCAAAGCTGAATTTTGCTCAAGAAACATATTATGAATCTAAAAGCAGTTGTTCTGCTTAATATTTGTATGGAAACTTTGATACTTTTTTTTTTTTTTTTGATGAACAAAAATTTCAAAATTATTTATTTGAAATAGAAATATTTTGTAACATAATAAAAGCCTTTACTGTCACTTCTGATTAATTTGAAACATCAATGTATGAGACATAACACTATCCATCTCTCCAACCTATTTTGAAAAAGATCTAATGACCCTGAGCAAACATGCCAACCACACACCCATGGATTTGGTGTCTTGATGCTCCGGTGCGTGTGGTGCAGGCCTTTCTGTGGGCCTCTGTGAATGACTAACTGTTTTATGTCCATCCAACAGCTGCATTCTGGCTTTGAACAGCTCGGCTAATTAGAGTCAAACAGTCAGCCACAGAGACTACAGACTGGGTCTGCTGCAGTCACGCCGGCAGGACATTTTTTCAGTTCTAAAAATCTGTGCCTTTTCCTTTTCACTTTTTTTCCTGTTTCACTTTCAAAGGTCTCCTTACAATTTTTTAAAAGCATTGCGTGAATAATCTTTCCATGCCCAAGCATCTTTAGAGTGCATCACATCGCAGAGCATGTGTATTTTTGGTGGTTTTCGCCCTCTGGTGGTGGTGGTAGAAACAGGTTTCAATATAGTTCTTTTAAAGAGAGAGTTCACCCAAAAATGAAAATTCTGTCATTAATTACTCGCCCTCATGTCGTTCCAAACCCGTAAGACCTTTGTTAATTTTCGGAACACAAATTAAGATATTTTGATGAAATGTGAGAGCTCTCAGACCCTGCATAGACAGCAACTCAACTGTAATGTTCCCAGGTCCAGAAACGTAGTAAGGACATCGGTAAAACAGTCCATGTTACATCAGTGGCTCAACTTCAGTTTTGCGAAGCTACGAGAATACTTTTTGAGCGCAAAGAAAACAAAAATAACAATTTATTTCACAGTTCTTCTCCCCCAAGTAACTACTTCCACCATTTTAGAGAGTATCACAACACATACGCACGCTTTCCCCTAAGCGTAAACAACGCTGATTACGCAGATTACATTCATGCGCGTGCTTTCCTCCCGAACGTAAACAGCGCTGATTGCGTAAATTACGCTCTTTGGTACTCTCCAAAATGGCTGAAGATGTAACTCGGGGGAATTGTTAAATAAATTATTTTTGTTTTCTTTGCGCTCAAAAAGTATGCAGGGTCTGGGAGCTCTCAGATTTAATCAAAACTATCTTAATTTGTGTTCCGAAGATGAAAGAAGGTCTTACGGCTTTGGAACGACATGAGGGTGTGTAATTAATGACAGAATTTTCATTTTTGGGTGAACTATCCCTTTAAGAAGTGCACTCCTCCATCACATCACTTTCTCCTTTGTAATTTTCCTCAGTCTTAGGCCTTTGGATGTGGAGTTCATGAGACGTCTTAGTAAGGTGGTGAACATCGTTCCTGTCATCGCTAAGGCTGACACCCTGACTCTGGAGGAGAGGGACTTCTTCAAAAAGAAGGTGAGCTAAAGTTTGACTTACAAATGAATGATTGTTGTTACTTTCTTCTTTACAGCATTCAAGTTCATATGCTACTATACTTTTTTTTTATATTTAGACAAAATATCGTAGATGCTGTAGAATAAATAGTTAATTTAACTGACTGCCATGTCATGTTGCTGGTCTTTGTTAGATGGCTCAGTGATATGACTTTATTGTCATGATTTATTGATTTATTTTAAAAATTCCATTCATACATAAAAAGTGACTGGTTTGCTAAATATTTTTGTAGTCAAAAATGTCAGGATGCTACAACTGTCCTAATATCATAAATCGAAAGAAAAAATTAATTGAATGAAATTCTTGAAAATAAATCCTTAAGTAGTTTGACATATTCTTTTCTTCTGTATATGAATATTCTTTTAACATAATATTATTTCTCAAAAATGAAAAGCTTCAACAGAACCGCTTCACTGCATATTAATATTTGAAAAACACTTTCAAATCAAAGTGGTGCCGAGTATTTTTAAATAACATTTTTATGATAAGACAAGGTTAGTTCAGGTTGTAAAATATCACGCAGTGTGGCAAAAATACCAACTTAATATGAAATTGAATGCTATGCAATCATGACCTTTTTCTTTATTGAATATAGGAAAAAATAAAGAAAAAATTATTTACATCTATTTTATTAATACTTTGTCCAAAGTAATGAAATTAGGATTGTACACTCACATGTATTCAAGGTGTAAGGAAAATATGTTAATAGTACATTACACGTGACTTTTTGAGTCATTAAACAACTTCTTGAAAATGGCATTAATGTTTTTCAAAACTCTGTTTCTGTGTGCATTTCTAAAAACTTGCCACATATTTTTAAAAGATTATTCATTTCCTTTATCGTGGACACTCATATTGTATTTTTGTGCCAGGCATGTTGTATGAGATAGAATCAGACAAAATACAATGTGGATCTTTGTGCGGCAAGCCCCGGTGGAATAATGTGAATACAGTACCACAAACCGGTGCATTGATGTGTGGAAGAACTAGTACATGCTGTCATGCTGTTATTCTAGCTGTAGCTGGCAAACTGAGTCAAGACTGCAGATGGTGGTGTCTCTGCAGCTTCTACAGAAACACTACTGCCCTGTCAAAGCACTAATGCAGTTTTATTTACGATATGATGGTCTATTACTTAAGACAATTGGCATGGCAAAAAAACAAGGACTGTCTTGAGAGTCTCAAACTTATTCTTTGCTTTTGATTATTCTGAAACAAAGCCGCAGTGGACTTGTTTATGCCGTTGTAGAGCACTGGTATGAGTCTTAAGTCACATGGTATGATGAAGTGTAGGTAAGCCACATCTGTTCTGGGGTTGTTAGTTGCGTTTCACATAGCAGTAAGGAAGCACTCGCCAACCTCAACGGCTCCTTGTGCTTGTGCTGGCGTGCCTCTTACAGGAGAAACACATGCTGTTTGGAGCACAGACATAGATCTTTCTCAGGTTTGGAAAAAGCTCCTGACAGATTTCCAAAAGCATTTCTTCTCTAATCAGTAAGGGAAAAGTATTACATTGTCACTTCCAGTATTGCACAAAATTGATGCATTCAAAAGAAGTTTGTTTCTGTTGCTATTTGAAATATATTATTGATGAATGGTTCAAATGAATGATAACATGATTTTTAATCATTTATCCATATCATATATATGGTACTTTGCTCCTGAAGGACTGTGTCATTTTTTTATAGATCAGGGAAGAGCTTCGAGCCAATGGGATTGATGTCTACCCACAGAAAGAGTTCGACGAGGATGCAGAGGATAGAACAATCAATGAGAAAATAAGAGTGAGTTTGCTGTACATTCAGAAAACATCCATGGTTCATTTAAGAACATTCTGATGTTATCGGTTACTTTCCTCTGTCCATTAGGAGATGATTCCTTTCGCAGTCGTAGGAAGTAACCAGGAGTATCAGGTCAATGGGAGAAGACTATTGGGAAGGAAAACAAAATGGGGAACCATTGAAGGTATTGTGACTCTTTAGAGAAGAGAGAGAAAGTGATTAGCGGACTATGCAGACAGCAACATTCCTAAAGCACGTCAAGGGAGCTCTTGAACCGCAGACAAACGGCTATGAGTCAAAACATCAGAAAGCCTTATCCTTGGTAAATGAGGACCCACTCAGAAGACCATTATGAGTGCGTCACTTTGCCTGGGAGTCGGCGTCCTGCTGGACAGTTAAATGCCTTTATCACCGAGCCTCATTGACAGGGACTTCACAATTTCCCCAGTTCCTCAAGTAATTTAATTACATATAATAATATTATTGCTTATTACTTCAGGATTCTTTGGTGAATAGAAAGATGGGAGGGGGAGCATTTATTTAGAATAGAAATCTTTTGTAACATTATAAATATCATATTTAATTTTAGATTATAGTATTGTAAAATTATGTATTATGTTATATAATTTATACAGAGTAGACTAAAGTCTTAGTTATTGTCTGTTATAATCAACATTATGCCACTGAAGCTGTCAGAAGCTTGCTACTTCTTGACTTGCCGTTGTAGAGTAATATGCAACCTTGTTTGAATACAGGTGCATCTCAATAAATTAGAATGTCATGGAAAAGTTCATTTATTTCAGTATTTCAATCTGGGCGGTTGATGTACTTAGCAGCTCACATAGTAAAAACTTAAATTTTTGGTGAGGTGTTTTGAGAGTCAAATGACTGTAATTATCCTGTAATCTTTCTGAAGAGCTTGACTACTCTTATTAAAGTCTCTCTTTGAAAACCTTTAATTTCCTGCTCTGGATGTCTACTCCATGGTGGCTCTCTTGTTCTCTTTCATGGAGTTTGACGTAATCTATAATTCATAAACATTTTTTCACATCCAGGCAGCTGTGGATTTGTCACAGCGAATTTGTCAGGCTCTCAGGGTTATCTTTTTTGGAAGGCTTCGGTTTAAATTGAATTACTAGAGATTGATAATGTCTCATCTCTGTCCACCTCCCCCTGAGTATACCTGCAACAGCTCCACCTAGTGAACAAGCGGTTATTGCTTTATGTTGCTCCAAATGGCTAGAGAGGAAGAACTGAATTGATCTGTTTATTGCTCTTTGTCTTCTGTTTGTAACTCATGTTTCTGCTGTGTTTTGGTGTCTATAGTTGAGAATATTGCCCACTGTGAGTTTGCTTACCTGCGGGACCTCCTCATAAGGTCAGTCTGTGTCTGTGGTTAACAAACAGTATTACAAGTATACACTTGTGGGGAAAAAAGTGTGCTTAATTGTGTCAAATGTGCACTTTGTAACATACTTTAGATCTTAAAAGTGTATATATATATTTTTTTTTTTAAAAACTGTACTTTAATTAAAAGGCCATTTAGGTTAAAGTAAGGAGTACAAGTTCATGTCTGCTTTTTCATACACTTAAGTGCACTTTAAAAAGTGTGCTTTGTAATATGTCAAATTTGTTTTATTAAAAGTAGATTTGAAATGTTTTAATAATCGTGCTTCAAAGATGTACACTTATTTTTTGTTAAAGTACATGTACTTGGTTTATAATTTTAACCGTAGTGTGTTATTTGACATTTAAAATGTATATATTTTTGATGTACTAAATTGCAATTACAAATATATTTAAATGCGTGTCAATTGACACATTGACATACAATTTCTATTGGGTTTCAATAGAAATTACATTAAATTATATTTTAGTTTACGATAAATCCTTATCAGGATATTCAACAGTACACTTTAAGTACATATTTCAAAGACAATAGAAATAATTATGAGTTTTAGGGCTGGGTTTTGACACAAATTTCACGATTCGATTCGATTCTCATTTACAAGCTTGCGATTCGATTCGATTCAATATCGATTATTTTGGATGTATATCAGGTACAGTACATGCCAAATTTTCTCAAGGAAAATTTTTTTTGTAATGCTGTAAAATTGTCAATTGGCACTACATTACTATAATATTGAAGGTTAAAATTTACTGATTTGTTAAACTTGCACTTAATGAAGTTTTTAAAATAATAAAAATTGCAATTACATAATATTTCTACTTCAATTTTTTATTTTTTTTAATATAAACAGTGGTGGCTGTCATAACTTGTATTTATTCAAACATAAATTAAACATTGAAGAACAGTAAAATATATAATGAATATGTTATATGGAGCATATATTTAGCAAAATGCCCCTCTCTACAGTTTATTTTTCTATCTGACTAATGAGTTTATGGTCACCGATTATATTTTACTGAGGTAAATGTGACGTTACGTGACATTGTTTACAAGCCGTTATATTGACGTCTTTGTAAAAAGTGTGCTTTGTAATATGTCAAATTTGTTTTATTAAAAGTAGATTTGAAATGTTTTAATAATCGTGCTTCAAAGATGTACACTTATTTTTTGTTAAAGTACATGTACTTGGTTTATAATTTTAACCGTAGTGTGTTATTTGACATTTAAAATGTATATATTTTTGATGTACTAAATTGCAATTACAAATATATTTAAATGCGTGTCAATTGACACATTGACATACAATTTCTATTGGGTTTCAATAGAAATTACATTAAATTATATTTTAGTTTACGATAAATCCTTATCAGGATATTCAACAGTACACTTTAAGTACATATTTCAAAGACAATAGAAATAATTATGAGTTTTAGGGCTGGGTTTTGACACAAATTTCACGATTCGATTCGATTCTCATTTACAAGCTTGCGATTCGATTCGATTCAATATCGATTATTTTGGATGTATATCAGGTACAGTACATGCCAAATTTTCTCAAGGAAAATTTTTTTTGTAATGCTGTAAAATTGTCAATTGGCACTACATTACTATAATATTGAAGGTTAAAATTTACTGATTTGTTAAACTTGCACTTAATGAAGTTTTTAAAATAATAAAAATTGCAATTACATAATATTTCTACTTCAATTTTTTATTTTTTTTAATATAAACAGTGGTGGCTGTCATAACTTGTATTTATTCAAACATAAATTAAACATTGAAGAACAGTAAAATATATAATGAATATGTTATATGGTGCATATATTTAGCAAAATGCCCCTCTGCAGTTTATTTTTCTATGTGACTAATGAGTTTATGGTCACCGAATATGTTTTTTCTGAGGTAAATGTGACGTTACGTGACATTGTTTACAAGCCGTTATATTGACGTCTTTGTGCGGCTGAAACACTGATTGAGCGATTACATGAGACAGAATACGGATTGTAAAGTTGTACTCTTTCTTTTAACTTGCCTTCGGATGTTTAGTCATGTTTATTTTGTGCTGAAACTGGTATTAACCCTCTGGGGTCCGAGGGTGTTTTGGGCCCTGGAGAAGTTTTGACACGTCCTGACATTTGTGCTTTTTTTCAGTTGCAAGTTTAGTAGCACCATAATCAGCACAAACTGGGCTACAATAATATTTGGGCAGCATGTATGTGATTGTGTTTTTGAGAAAACAACGTTTATGCGTGCTTAGTGAAAAACTGTGGAGGAGATCTGATCAGTTCACGTGCACCTCGCGTTGTTTGAATACTGCAATACAATGGACAGAATTTGAAATCTGAGACTTTGTTTCTTATTAAAAGTACCAAAGCACAATGCTTATTGCAATATATTGGATGGGAAGTGCCCTTCAACGTTCCGTCCGTTGACTGAAAACAGACTAGACTAATCGATTCTTGGGATTTAAGAATCGATATCGTTCCGTAAAAATGAGAATCGATTAATATTAAGATATCCATATTTTTTACCCAGCCCTAATGAATTTGCATATACTGTAACGATTATTTTGTCTGAATTAAGTCCTAGTTAAGATGGTTAAAATGGCACTCTAAAGTTCAGCTAATTGCATTTACTATAAATTTAAACTATAATACATTTTCATTTAATTGAAATTAGCATGGATTTAAATGTCAGAAAACATTACTGTATATTGATTAAAAGTATATTATTTCCATAAGTACTCTTTTTAAAAAATATGCTTAAGTGTACTTCTTTTTCACAAGTGTACAGCTGTGACACAAAATTTTTAATGGTTTATCCAAAAAATGTAATTCTGTCATCATTTGCTATTTTCTTGTCACCTTTGTATTATCCATGCAGTGAAAGTCAGTCAAAGTCAAAATCTTGTTCAACCAGTTTGGAGTCATTGTATGCACAAAAAAAGAAAAAAAGATGCGTTTTTTTTTTTTAAATATCTTCTTTTGTGTTCCACAGACTAAAGTAGGTTAAAATGGGTGTGGACCTTTTTAAGGGTCAGTAAATGATGACAGAATTGTCATTTTTGGGCAAACTATCACTTTAATTCCAAGTGAACGTGTTAGGGACATCTGCATTATTCATTAGCCATCATGCTGAGCTTGTACGTGTGATTCTAACGTGTGATTGGCTCATGTCCTGCAGAACCCACATGCAGAACATCAAAGACATCACTAGCAGCATCCACTACGAGATGTACCGTGTCCGTCGGCTCAACGAGAACAACACCCAGGCCAACGGCCTCAGCGAACACCATCCGGCCTGCCACGAAATCTAGCTCCCCATCCAAACGACCCCTCCACCCCCATTCCTCACTCCTCTCCAATCCCCAACCCTCCATTCACCTCACGCTCTGTCCCGCCCCCTTCCATCAGCCATGGACTGAGGTGAAGAGGTCCATCTAGAGAAGCACATAATGACTTCACCTCCCAGAAACCTCCAGCACAGTGGAGGGCTGAAGAGGTCAGAAATACAACCGCTAAAGAGCTTCACCATATACTGCATGCGTTTGACTCGGCTCTGCTGATGCTCCAGGTCTGTGTCTGTGTGCAGAGGTTGATTATGAGGCAGGTACTGATTGGTCAAGCTGTGCGAAAAGCTCTTCACATGCATCACTCTTCCTTTTGGTTTTTACAGGAGATTTCTCAGAAGGCTCCTTTTTATGTGATTTGTTGAATGCTCTCTTAATATTTATGCTTAATTTTGAGCGGATAAGTCATCTTCTGAAACCAGAGCTGATGTGGCAGCACCATTATAAAACTACAGGTTATCTGATGTCTTTCCCTCCAAAATATGTATACTTGTTGCCTACGGCATTGTGGAGAACCTGGTGTGCAGTTGTTCCTGCTATTTGTTTAATCACATCTGTGCAAATAATTACAGGAAAACTGACTCATTGGATCCCTGGTACCATATAAAAACAGTAATGATTGAAATTACAGCTTTGGGGTTTGTGTTGGAAAGATTATCCAAACTGAATAGTATTTATGTCAATTAAATGGGATTGTTATGTACTTTATACAAACGATCTTATTTATTGCAGAATGTGACCTGAACTGGAAGGAGAATCGCAGTGGGTTCAATAGGCTTTTAATGAATCATTTAATTTTGTGTATGAACCCGGTACACCGTTTTTATCAGGCAGTATTCAGTGCCGTTTATCTTAGACCTTCCAGACCGCCTCATTCTCTTCCAGTCATGCCAAATATGTGGAAATCTGCACCATCTTTTGTCAGTTTAAGTGTCTTGTTTTGTCTTAGCCTCGAGGAAAGGGCCTACAGGAGAGGGAACTTAAAGCTGCCTGCCACATCTGATGAGGAGCCACTTTTAAGAACGATGGAATTCCTCAGGCTTTGTTCTTGTCTGCAAGCCCCTTTATAAATGCTCGTCATTGGGAAAATATCTTTGTTTTGTCCTGTGCTGTATATTCATAGTGATTACATTTTTGTATTGGCATTCAGAGTAACACAAATAACTTTGATATCCTGTTATTTTAAAGAAATAAAGATTTAAATGGTAAATAATTATTTGGACTCTTTATAAATGATTAATTGACTCCTAAATGTGTCTAGACTTTGTAATTGCACACATTTTTTGGGTAATGGGAAACATTTAATAATGAGTCCTGTTTTCCACTCTATGATTCATGACTTTTTCCATCTAGGTGCTAAATGAAATTGTCAGTCAGGTTAAATGAACTGCTTTTATTAAAGGCATATAATTTTGACAATCATTTGACATTTGCTCTTCTAGAAGTATGTGAAAATTGCTTATTTTCTAATTACTTCTATTAACAAGGATATTGTGTATTAAGTACGTCAGAGATACTAATTTGGCTTTTAGCACTGATCATATACAGGTGCATCTCAATAAATTAGAATGTCGTGGAAAAGTTCATTTATTTCAGTAATTCAACTCAAATTGTGAAACTTGTGTATTAAATAAATTAAATGCACACAGACTGAAGTAGTTTAAGTCTTTGGTTCTTTTAATTGTGATGATTTTGGCTCACATTTAACAAAAACCCACCAATTCACTATCTCAACAAATTAGAATATGTTGACATGCCAATCAGCTAATCAACTCAAAACACCTGCAAAGGTTTCCTGAGCCTTCAAAATGGTCTCTCAGTTTGGTTCACTAGGCCAGTGGTTCTCAAACTGGTTTTAAGTTTCCACAGTCTGTGATGATTTGGGGTGCAATGTCATCTGGGTGTAGAAGCAGAAGATGTAATATTTGACAACTGTTTTACGATAAAAATGTTGTAGCTGACAGTAATATCCAGTAATGCAACCTAATCATTTCCCCCCTGAAGTGTCCATTTTGAATCGAAAATATGGTATCATTTACGATTTCGTGTATTAATTCCAAACAGAATGTGACTCGACAAGAAACATTTTGCGCTTTTCACAAAATACGCATACAAATAAGAGTGAATATGTGCATATTTCAAAATATTACTAGAATTAGAATTTGCTTCACCGTTACTTTTACCATTTCCCCTAAACTTTCTCCATTTGGTATGTCTGTTTGTTTGATTAACAGTCTTTCCTCACACTGAGGAGGGCACTGGAAGCCAACATTTGTACTCCTCCGTAGTAATTAGAAGAAAGTCGACAGCTCCAATTCTGACTCCTCTCTAACCTGCATATGTTAGCCACTAATAATACCGTGTTAATTAAAACTGCTTATTTCAAAAGAGCTTTTTGTAGGACTCCACTTTAATTAGACGCATTACCTGCCATTTTGTTTTATATCAGTGCTCAGAGCTGGCATGGTCGTGGCCACCTGCCGTCAGGCTCCACCTTGCCCCTTGATTACCTCTGCAGGCATCTGTGTGATTTGTTTCGAATGAGTTTGTCTCGTCCTTTCTGCATCACTTCATTTTCCTGTTTTCCTTTTGCCTCTACCTTGCCGCTCCTGTCTGTATCGCTCTCCTTGTGCTTCATATGTCAGATGATCTTGGTTCCTTTCTGTCTGCTGGCTCAATGCCAGGCTCTCAGACATGCAAGGGAGGGGTGCATGCAGCCATATGCAAATCATACTAGCCTTGATTAGGAGGCAGCAGCAAATTCAATTAAATTTGGTGTGGTGGGTGGGAAAGGTGGTCTGTTAAGTCAATTGCAATCCTTTTGACACTTACAATTTTAAAGAAACAGATCAGTTTTTTTTCTTCAGTTTTTCTAGTAATGCTATTATGTTTTGCATTTTATTTGAATTATTTATTGAAAAATGTATCATTTTGAGATTTATAAAATTCATTTGGATTTTTATTTAAAAAAAGAAGCAAAACTTTGTCATATCAGGTGTCAGGATATGAAATCAATTGTGTTGCATTTCCATTGCATGCACAGTGTTATTTTATATATCATTTTACATTGTTTAAATTGTTTTGTTATTTTCATATTATTTTAATATAACTTTTTAAAGTGTATTTTTTTGCTATTCTTTATTATATTTCAATTTTTTTTATAAAAAGCAAAATTCTGTAATATCAGAATTTGTAAACAATTGTGGTGCATTTTATTTGATTTCATTTTACATTATTTTATCCATTTATTATTATTTATTTATTAAAAAAATATTTAGTACTTTTTTGTAAATAAAAAAATCCATTGCACACACAATGTTATTTTATTTTTATCACCATTATTATTTGTATTTATTATCAATATTTGTAATTTTATTCATATTATTTATTATTTGTTTTATTTGTATTTTACATAAGCAAAAACATGTAATACTGGGTGTCAGGATTTGAAGTCAGTTAGATGTGGTGCATTTCCATTGCACGTGCAACGGTTTATTTTAGACGTAAAACAGAAGAGCAAGAGATTGAGAAACAGAGAGAGAGAGAGAGAGAGAGCGAGAAAGTAGAGCAAGAGAGGATCTTCCTTCATTTCCTTTTGATGTGATGATTTTTCCTGAAGCTAATGGCTGAGTAATTACACCAATCAGTTTCCAGTGTTCTTGCTGTCGTAGCATTGAGTGAGACAATGTTGGGGTGTCGTAAATGTTTACTAATTGTGCACATGAATTTGTCGGTAAAGGGAGGCATTCAGGAAGAGGGTTTATGCAGTTATGGGAAAGATCAAATACGCTTGCTTGCAATGTACCAACCTGACAGCATCCTAGTTCGTCTATCTTAGCCATTGTTTGGACTTTGACATTTCATTCTTGCAGGACTGCTTAGGGCTCTAGTGTGCTGCATCATGACATTGCCTTTTGGTAAAGATCGAAAAGTCAACAGAAAGAAAAGAGACAGGTGACTGAGTGCATGTGACGCATTGAAAGTTGTGTTAGGCTGTCGGCGTCTGATTTTCTCTCTTTCTGGCAGAGTGCCTGGGTTACCCAACACTCTTGGCCAAATTAACAGATGTCTGATGATGATTGGTGGTGTGGGCAGAGCCTAATGATGGGCATTTCTCTTTAGTAAAGCGCACATGGGCTTTGTTCCAAAATGTAGTGAGCTACCTATGGAGGCATTATAGTTGCTGCCAGCTGCTACTAAATAATCCTGCCTTAACATATCAAGTTTTTAAAAAATTCTTAGGGAACGTCACATTTGTCCTTCACAATGAAGGCAATTCCAGAATTCAGAGCGGTGAGCTCAGTAAAGATCTGTATGGCCTGTATGTAAGTACACAGACCTATTTATATTTCATTCAATACTATTCAATACTACAAAGAAGTAGGCCTATTGATAAAATACTAAAACAGTTCAGTGCAGTGTTGTCATTGACTAACTGAAATAAATATAAATGACAGCTAAATAGAAACTTAAAACAAAAACTATTAAAGATGACAAAAGCACATAACAAAATCACTAAAATCAAAATCAAAATATAAACAATAAATATAATAACAGCTCGTTTGAAATAGTAATACTATCGTAGTAAGCAACATAATACAAAACTAAATGTTTAGGCACATAAACATAGACCTAGGCTATATATTTTATTTAATACTTAGGGTTAATGAATTTATTTTAAAAATGATATTTTACCCAATAACTAATTTGATCCTGTCTGAACCTATGTATTTTAAATTGAATCAAAGTTCACAGTACTTTTTTCTTCCCTTAACCACCCAGTGCTACTTAATACAATTTTACCTATAAAAAAAAAAAGCAGCTCCAAAAACAAGTTTGAAATATGACACAAATTTTGAAGAACAGCAAAATGTGACAGTTTTTTGAAGTAAAGTTAACCACAGATCTAAATGTGCTTATAATCCAAAAAGCGTCATTCTAAAAACCCATAGAAAATGCAGTTAGCCCTTTTAGCCCCAAAACAAAGGTTGGTATACATTGTGAGATTCGTCAGTATGTGATAGCGACACCCAGTGTTCAGATTATGAATTTCATGTCATTTCTTAATAGCAATACCTCAGATTCCTTTCTGTTTTTAAGTTAAGTCATAATTACAAACCACATCAGGATAGGCGGTAATCCACAAATGTACATGTTTGGACACCCCTGCCTTATCGAGGACTTTTGCAACTGACTGCATTCCACTTTTTCAGCTTTGTCCTCTAGATGGCTCTCCAATCTCCATCTATGGACAAGACCCAGTGAAGCTCAGTGGGATGTAGTGTGAGCAGTTCTTTCTATAATCAGAGTGACTGTTTGCACTCGGGTGTAAATAGCACTCGCTGCACAGCAGATTTATTTGCGCTTCAATAGTTTCGTTGATTGAGAAGAAAAAACTACAACAAAATGCAAGTTTGATGTCAGATAGTCATGCATGTGCTTCGATATTTTGCACAGTAGTGCTTATGTGTCAGAGTGGGCTTGGTTTTATTTTATTATAAATTGTTAATTGTGTTTATCTAAAATTGAAAAAAAAAAAATATATATATATATAAATTGTGTGTGTGTGTGTGTGTGTGTGTGTATATATATATATATATATATATATATATAAAACCAAAAATGCTCAATGATAAGTATGTTGTTGAGCTATTAACAGAGCTCTCTCAGACCCCAAACAAACTTCAAGATGATGCAATTAAATTTTGTGAGTGTTTTGTCTGAAAATCAATTAGGTATCACAGGAGAATATTTCCATCTTGCATCAGTCGAGTCAGTGGCCTGTTTCCTTCTCGGGCAGGATGTTGTTGTGCTGTGCTGTGTGCGTGCCTGCTGTTGCTCCGCTGGAGTTAATTATCTGCATTAATGAGAGCAGCTCAATCATTTATCATCGTCTCATTCACTCTGCAGATGCCTGACTAGAGCTGCACTGCCCCTATCAATACCCTGAGATGTGTGTGTGTGTGTGTGTGTGTGATACCTCTGAACGATTTTGTTGTGCATTGCACTCATGCAGTGTTGATTTCCATATGATTCTCCATTCAGCATTCATATTCAGAATACATTTAAATGTAAAATATACATAGTACGCTCATGCATACTTTTATGTATTCAGTTTCCATGCACCACAGGTTTTATTTATTTTGAACCTGTTATTTTCATCCGTCCAGGGCGAGATGAAGGCCTCTTTGACTCTTGGTTGAA